CTTGGGCCCCGGCACAGCCCCGCCTGCCGGGGGGGGGGGGTGTTGGCAGGCTCCGGGGGCTGGGCTGCTGCCAGGCCTGGCCGCAGCACAGAGCCCAGGCGGGCCAGTGCTGAGAGCCAGAGGCTCGGAGCTGCAGGGCTACACAGACTGCAGTGGCCAGCTCGGAGTGGGCGTGGGGGCCTCGGTCTGCCTGTCCAGGCTGTCCTCCCCAGGGACAGCAAAGTGCGCCAGCCTGAGGGCTGACGCGATCACCTTGACCCTGGGGTTCCACCCAAGCCACACCACCCACCCTGGGCATAGGTGTGAGTGGGTGCTCACAGGCGTGTTGCACACTTGGGTGGGGGTGCTGGGGTGCCCCTGAGAGTGAGATGACGCATGCCCTTAGTCTTCTTTACTCAGAGTCCCTCCCTGAGGTCACATGCTGAAGGGGGCTGGCCAAGGACAGCTCACTCCACAGCCCCTTCCAGATCTATAGCTACCCACCCCCTCCTGATGTGGTGGCCTTGACTGTCCTACATGGTGCCACCTCCCCTGTAAGAAGGGCAGGGTTTAGTTGGGCAGGGGTCCACTTATTGTATGCTCCAATAGGACCCACATCACCTAAGGAACACGCAGAGACTCGACCCCGCACAGTAGGAGCTTCGGTGGGACCCTGACAGCCCATCCTGACTCCTGGGCCCTGGAGGAGTCCCGGTGCAAGAGAGAGGCCTGGCAAAGGACCCTCAGCTGCCCGCCCACTCCCCAAGGCCCCTGAATCCCAGGCTGCCTCCAGAATCTGCCCACACCGTTTGCAGGGCAAGCGGTCTCACCTTCCTGCCTCTGCTCAGATCAGATATCGAAGTCACCATGCACACACACCAGGCACGTGCCCAGACCCTAGACAGGCTTAATGTCCCCCTGAACTTACTCAAAGACATTTCAAACAAACAGAACCAAAAAAACTCCACCTCCAGAGAGTGGGAGCAGGGCTGCTTATGCCAGTTCTGTAGGTGAGAAGCAGACGGTTAGACAAGCTCTGGAGTCTGCTCTGGGCCAACTCTGCTCAGGCCTGTCTCCTGTGCCCTGCTCCAGGCCCTGTGCACAGCCTTGCCCTCTCTGGGTTCCTTCCTGGGCCGTCTGAAGTGCCTTCAGGTCTGGGAGCCCCTGTAGTAGAACCCTGAAACCTTCAGACTCCTGGCAAACTTCAGGGTTTTCCAAAGCCTTGGTGCTAACTCCTGCCTCAGTCTCCCCTCGCTGGGTGAGGTGGAACCAGGGTAGCTTCTGCCAGCCTCCTCAGCCTGGGACTTGTGCCCCAGTCCTGAGCCAGTCTCTACCCGGACTCAGACGTACGTTCCACAGCAAACTACCTGCCTGCCCGTCAGATGGCCACCGGCTGGCCTCCCACCTCCCTCCCCCTTTGGTGACTGCCAATTACATGCCCAAAGAGGAAGCCCAGAGCCCACACCGGACCCTCTGCTGTGCAGGACGGGGAGTACCCCAACACACACTGGTCCCCGGGTACGCTGTGTGCCTAGTCATGGCTCCATGTTCCACCTGCATCCTCCCCTGCAGCTTGAAATGTCCCAGAGACACAGATGGGGACACTGAGGTGCTGAGGAGGGCTGCTGCTCCTGGCTCACAGCTTGGATACCGTGGAGCCCAGGCTGTCTGCCTGGAGTGAGCACTCTTAACCCTGACCTTATACAAGGCCCAAGGGGCGTTGAAGCCACAGTGCCACGTGGAGGGCCCCCACCCACCCTGGAGCCTGCCGCTCCCTTTCTGACCCTGGCCTGGCCCCACTGGGCAGGCTGGCTCCCCCACGTGGATGTGGAGTGGGCGGGGTTGCTCACAGCCCACATCTGGAGGCCAGGCCACACCGCAGACCTCTGAGTCAGGGAGGGTGGAGCGAGCCCCGTGGAGGAGGGCGGGTGGGCAGCACCCAGGGCCTTAGGTGATCAGATGCAGAGCCCCTACAGATGGCCAGGGTGCTCGGGGCTGCTGGGTTCTGTTACCTGCTGCTCATGCAGCAGGGCTAGCACAGCCAGGGCAGCTGGGGTCTGCCTGGGATGGCCTCCTGGGAAGGGACACTGGCTGAGTCAGGCCTCTAGCTGTGAGGGGTCAGGCTGGAAGCTTCTGGAGGGGACTCTGGTAGAGGGACAGTGCAGGTGGGCCCAGCCTGGGTGACAAGTTCTCCTTCACCAAGAGGCACACAATACCCCAGCAGCCACTTCACCAATGACTTGTCTAGTATGTCCTGGAACCACCCACACTCCTTCTACCCCCTATATTCCAGGAATCCATATACCTGGGGAAGGGGGAGCTCCATAAGGGGGCCCTTCCTCCAGACTGGGGCAGTGGGACAGAACCGGGCTGGGGGGGTCATGTTACCTGCCTGGACAGCCAGTGTGGGGGAGGGGAGGCCAAGCTCCAGCACAAAAGGCCCTTGTGAAGGCGGCAGGCGCCTGAAGGGGGAGTACCCTGTGGGAGGACCTCCTCCCAGGACAGGCTGGCACCCCTGCGAGGTTCAGGGACTTCTGGGGGCACCGTGCACCGCACCACGGCTGCTCTTAAATGGCTGCTCTTAAATGGCTCCCTGGGG